TCCGAGCCCCGGGGAGAGGGGCAGCGAGTTGTTTTTCTTTTCCTCTCTTTTCTTTTTCCGTTTTGGTTTTGTTTTGGTTTTTTAACTTGAGATCTGAAAGCAAACGTGAAGCAGGTGTCCGAACTCCGTAGGTGACCGCGCAAGTGGCGAGCAAGGGAAGGCGATGAGGAGGCTTGAGTAGTTACGCGCTGTTCAGTCGGAAAAACGACGGGGCTTATACATAAGAAATTACAAATCTAGAAAGAAAGTCACTCACGGCAAGAAAATAGTGGTTTTCATAGGGGAAATTAGGGATCGAAATGATGTGTTAGTCAGCATGGACTACTATTGCAGAAGTGTAATAGAAGCGGTTAATGCAAGCCCTGGATGCGTAGGCAGGTAGGAAAGCGAGTTTTACGTCCATATGTTGCGTTGGCAAGGGTAGTACAGAAGTATTGCTAGGTCTGGTGTTCGCTCCTAGTAACACTAGGTCTGGTGTTCGCTCCTTTTTTTTAAAAAAAAAAGGATATTGGAAAACAGCAGAGGATGTAAAAGAGAGTCACAAAAATGATTTGAGATCTAGAACCAATACCTTATTGCCAGAGATCAGAGCTGAACTTAATTAGAGCACTATGAGGAAAAGCACAGAATAAGTTCAGTATAATGTATGAAAGCTTTGAAAGATGACCTCTGATGAATGTGGTGCAGCCATTTAAGGTGTTACAGTCACTGGTCAACATGTAGCAAAGTCAATAAAAGATAAGTGACCCCAATGCCTCAGCCCAGCCGATGCCATGCCTGACCCTTAGGCTGTCCAGAAGGTGGGTCTGAGCTATGACACTGGACTGAAGTTGAGTTCCAGTACTCAGCTGAGTTTCCATCCTGGATTCTGTTCTCTCATTTCTGCTACACAGCTAGTACCTTCTGCTTTATCGAGTTTAAACTTTAACAACTTATAACACTGTAGCAAATCTGACTGGGGAACTGATCTGGCTGGGAGAGGAGAACTTAAAGAAGAAGTTAATTTTCAGCTAGATAAGTTCTTTCAGCCATGGCACTGTGCAGATATACAAATAGCTGTGCCAGCACAGTGCAGAACCCAGATGATCAGGACTGCGCGGGCACAGGAGCCCACAGGCCAGCTTCCCAGTCCCACCACAAAATGCAGAAGCGCAACCGTTCCAAGAGCCCTATCTCAGAAAGAAAAGCCACCGTACTGGCAGCTCCTTAGCAAAGGCATAATGAGATGCAGCAGGTAGAAGCCAAGGATAGACAAATTCAAATTAGACGTGAGAGATGCCCTTTAGAGAAAGAGCTGGGACTGTTTAGCCTGGAGAAAAGATGGCTCATGAGGAATCTTTATCAATGCATATAGAGATCTGAGGAGAGGTTATAAGGAAGACGGAGCCCGACTCTTCTCAGTGACAGGCTGAGAGGCAGTGGGCACAAACTGAAACACAGGAAATTCCATCTGAACATAGGAAAACACTTTTTCACCATGGGGGTGATTGAGTACTGGAACAGGCTGCCCAGAGAGGTTGTGTAGTCTCCATCCTTGGAGATATTCAGAACCTGTCGGGACATGGTCCTGGGAAATCTGCTCTGGTTGACTCTGCTTGAGCAGGGTGTTGGACCAGGTGAGCTCCAGAGGGCCCTACCGTCCCCAGCTGTTTTGTGATTTTTGTGAAAAGAGAAACTGCAGCTCCACAATACAGGAGGTCAACAATTAGCCTTCCACGCTAATTGTCCCTTCCTCCCTACTGCCATGTGTCCATTGCATTGAGATTAGCACAACTGTGCTGTTATTCAGATCAGATAATTGATCCAGGCTCCTTTTATTTTTTTCCTGATTATTTTTAATGTGGATCAGGTCCACAGTTCCCTGATCTAGTTCTCAGAACAGGTCACAGAGTCTTCCTCTGCAACAGAGGGAATGGTGCTCTGCATCACCAGAGTGATATCTAGGTGCAGAAATTATGCAGCTATAAGCGCTACATAATTGAACCGTAATTTGAGAATGATTAAACATTGGAACAAACTGTCAAAGCTGGTGGTGTGCCCTCAATCCCAAGATCTTTCCGTCAAGGCTGAGTGCTTTTTTGTGTTATGTACTTAGACATACTATATTGTTTTCTATATGAGAATAAATGGGTGGAATCTTGTACACAGCCTATTGTCCATCACCTGATATGATCTCTTCTAGCTTTAATTTGCACAAACTTGATATATATAGAAATGAAATATTTCATATTAATTGGCAGCCGGTGGGAACACAGCATTCAGATGGATGATACTTTTTCTTCCAGCTCTCTCTTCACCATGACAACCTCTTAACCTCTGTAGAACTGAAGAGGAGGAAGATTGACCTGGTGATGGGAGTTTTTTGTAAGAGTAAGCTCTGAGATTGGTGGAGCTCTTTGGGCTAGAAATATTTTCCAAGGACTAGTACTAAATCTTTTATGTTGAACAGGTTTCCCAGTGCTGGTAGAGATTCTGTGATCAAAAAGATGTTTTCTGAACAAGTACAGGTTAAGGATATCAGGGATTTCCAAAAAATAGTGGCTGCATCTCTCTGGTGGCTCCAGAGTTACACTCAACAGTGAGCACATTGGAAGCATTCTTTAGGCAAATGCTGCATAAAAAGCTTAGTCGAGATCTTTTAAAAATAAAAATATACATCATGCAGAGAGTTTATTAGCCAAGCATGAATTATGTCGTTAATGTTCCAAAGATCTGTCGCTATTCTTATGCTATTACTTTTTCAGCTGAACCAGCTTGCAATGGAGTTTCATTGATCCTATGCAAAACCTTCATCTGTATTTTTTTTCCTTATTCCACAGCTGTTAATGTCCTATGATATGCATTTAGAATTAGAAACAGACCCAAACAGTTAGCCATTTTTATTCCTAGAGCCTTAAAATTTTAAAGGAAGGTTCATGAAATGTTATAGTAATCGGTTACAGGGAAATTATTTCTTAACTCATTTGTGAGTATTTGGGTTTCTGCTCTGAAGATTATAGTTTATATGCCTTAATATTAAAGATAGCAACATTCAAACTTTGTCTTCTTTCAGGTGGCTTTGAAACTGGAACAGATGGCTGTCCTTGTTCAGAACAAAAGAAGCAAGTACCTGGAGAAAGTGGTAGAGACTCTCAGAATGTGTGCAAAGCTCTGAAGCAGGAGATAGAGAACATTTCAGTACCCATCTCATACAGAGGTGAAATATTCATAGTCGTAGACACCTGCAAAGCAAGATTGCTCTGAAACACAGGACGCCTGCATCCTGAGAGGTAGAAGGAGCCATCACATCACACTATGATCTCTCAGCAGCAGTTTTAGTTCTTTCTTTGTTGTGCTCTCCTCAAGTAGGTTCAGTCTGCATAAAATTAAATTCTCTTTTGGATGGTCATTTTGAAACTTCATACTTAGTGAAACATTTTCCTAGAATCATCTCATTTCCCAGTGTTTTCACACTGAGGGAACCATTCATGGTATTGCGATTGATGGTGTAGTTACAGTTATTGTTATTTCATCTATTCTTGACGTTCAGTAGTATACTTTCTTAACGGGGGTAGGTTCGTTCCCTCGTAGTTGCACATCCTGCCCACAACTGGCACTCATGTTGATGTGCAGGCAGGAAGTTCCTCTCTCTGAAGCAATCATGGAGAAAGAAAGAGTTTGAGGGTTTGATGCTATTTTAAGAAGAGTTTCTCAGGCAGCTAACTTTAATGAAAGAGATCTATTCTGAGGTTTTTATTCCAGCTAACTGCTTACCAGTTCAGGTGCTGGTGGAACCGTATAAAAATGCAGGACTTTATGCACAAGACAAGTACAACTTAAGAACGACCTGCTAAAAGCGATTAATATAGATGTTCACCAATATGAAAGCCAACAGAGAATACCTATAGATGAAGAGGATGTAGGAGGTATATTTTGTTGAGCAGGAAACAGTTTGACCTTCCATATCAATGGATGAGACTGTAAAAGAAGGATATTTGCTCATTACTGTAGAAAACTTGCTAATCCAGACAGGCACAATCTGCCCTGCAGTAGAAAAGAGAAAATACAATGACTAATCATACCTTGAAGAGAAGTAGCATCTGTTACCATCCTGAAAAGGTGCGATGCTGCTGATAGTAGCAGGTTTTCTTCCGCAGTCCTGTTGACCCATATACAGTCATGATAATTCCGATTGGTTTGCTAGGAAGTGGTCTTACCAGTTTACCAGGTTTGTAGCAGAGTAGATGAAAAAAAATTACATGAGAACCTTAGTTTCTCAGAGAAGCTCTAGACGAGAACCCCATATGAACAATGATCAAGAGCAAGTGAGAATTAAACTATGAAGTACATGGGGGGAAAAGGGGGATGAAAAGAGATTCACAAAAAAGCTGGGAAATACGAGGTATTTAGAGCTGCAGAGAGACACCCACCTGCAAAATTTCAGAAGAAAATGAACGCAGCAAGTGAGAGTGGCTCTTGATAGTTGCAACCAAGTTATTCACAAAAGTTTAATATCATTTTATTCAGGAAATCAAAGGAAACAAGGGTTTCTCTGTAAGAGAAGTGTTTTAACGTCTTTCTGCTCAGTAGTAAATTATTTCTGCTGTGCTCAGAATGCATCAACTACTGGTGGCACTTCGTCTCGTATAGCGGATAGCCGTATGGATGCATACCTGGGTTAAGCTCAAATCTAGCACTCTCGTGTTAGAAGCACTCTCTAGCTGATCTGCTGTGCCGAACAGTAACACACTTGACTACATTTTATTCCGCAAAAGACAGACATTCTAGAGATGAGTTTCCCTGTCTGTTGTGAATATGCAACATGCAAGACAGGCATCTTCACATATTTATAGTGCTTGTTGAATGCTCATACATTTTTGTGTGCACACGTGAGAGCTACATTGTCTTAACGCTAAGTGTTTTGTGATTTCAGATGAAGATTTTTTGCTATTAAAGCAGTTTTGCCACAGAGGTTTCGACTGACGGCTGCACCAGGACAACATCACAGGAAGACGCCCACAGGCTTGAGTTCTGCTTGACATGGCCATGTTCTACTAGACCTGCCATGACGGCATTTTTCCCCAGTGTCCCCAACTGGATTCAAGATGCAAAGCAGGAGGAGGAGGAGACAGGCTGGAAATTAGTCCCCAGGCCAAGAGGTGAAGAGACCGAAAGTCAGGGAAAATGCCAATGCGAAATATCGGAGACCTCCTTCCCTAATGTGGACAAGCTGAGAACTCACTCGCTTTCTCATACTGAGCAGAGACCATACAACTGTCCTCAGCTGCACTGTGGCAAAGCCTTTGCTTCTAAGTACAAGCTATATAGGTAGGTAACTGCTGAGTGCCTCTGCAGAACAGTTCTCCCCTACCAGAAGAGAGGGGAAAACCCCTCCATGATGTTTTTTGATATAATTTCTGAGAAGGTGGAGGAGGGGGAATGCCCTTGTTACCTTGCAAAGCAGTTGAGTCCCAGACATTACCATACTTGGCATCTGTTTAAGCATCTTCCAGAGAACCTCAGATAATACCTTATCCTGAGCTCAAGATATTTTCTGTATTACTAAGGAAATTGAAGCATAAAGTGAAGTTCACAGATTAAAAAACAAAAAAAACAAAAAACAAAACCTCCCCCCACAACCTGAAAAGAATAGTACTCATATTGCATAAACCCTATCTCTGTAGCTGTAATCACAGGAATATTTCTATGCCAGTTACTGTTCTAGCATGAAGAAGTAGAGCTGCCATTTGTGTATTGAAACGTAGCATTAAAAAAAAAAAATTATAAGATCACTAGGAACTTGAAGACTAGATGAACCACGGTTTCATAGAGTCTTAAGATACCAAGGTGAAATCAGTCCACAGTGGCAGTCAACAGACATTGCCACAATCTGATACCTCTCGATGAAATGAAGCTGTCTCATCAGTGGACAAGCATTTATTGTCATAAACCGCCAAGGTTGCCTTTGTCATTTCCCCTTTTGGTAGCCTCAACAGAGAGAACAGGAGCTGAGTAGAAGACTGAAGCATTCAAGTGCAGAGGTGATGCATTCTAGGCAGGACAGGCACTGCTTAGACAGACTCTGTAGCTTGCTTGAAATGTTTTGCCTCTGTGCCTGGAGAATCACTGCTGCCCATGCTGTCAGTTCAGCCTCTTTTTAGTAGCATTAAAATTCCAGCTGGGATTTGTGTGCCATTGAGTGTAGAACACAAGGAAAATCTTGAGAAAGTAGCGTGTGTTCTCTTAGGGGTCGGACTCTAGTCTAAACTCTCCTGCTTTTCTCCCAAAAGGCATATGGCCACTCACTCTGCTCAGAAGCCTCATCAGTGTATGTATTGCGAGAAGATGTTCCACCGGAAAGATCACCTGCGCAACCACCTCCAGACCCACGATCCCAACAAGGAGGCCCTCCACTGCCCTGAGTGTGGCAAGAACTACAACACAAAACTTGGCTTCAGGCGACATCTGGCCATGCACGCAGCTGCCAGTGGTGATCTTAGCTGTAAAGTATGCCTCCAGACATTTGAAAGTACGCAAGTCCTGCTGGAGCACCTCAAAGCTCATTCTAGGCGGGCCTCTGGTGGAGCAAAAGAAAAGAAGCATCCCTGTGACCATTGTGATCGGCGCTTCTACACTCGGAAAGATGTGCGGAGACATTTAGTAGTACACACGGGGCGGAAGGACTTCCTGTGCCAGTACTGTGCTCAAAGATTTGGGCGGAAAGATCATCTGACCAGGCACATGAAGAAAAGCCACTCCCAGGAACTGCTGAAGATAAAGACAGAGCCAGTTGACATGTTGGGTCTCCTAAGCTGCAGCTCATCTGTAGCAGTGAAAGAAGAGCTGAGTCCAGTCCTATGTATGGCATCCAGAGACATGATAGGTGGTAAGAGCTTCCCTGGCATGTTGCCTGTGGGCATGTACAGTACACATCTCCAAACCATGCCAAGCTCAGGGATGCCCCATTCTTTGATTCCTAATTCTCTTCCAATGGGAATGAGCTATCCTCTGGAGTCTTCTTCTCCCATCTCCTCCCCACCGCAACCTCCTCCAAAGTATCAGCTTGGATCTACCTCATATTTGCCTGAGAAACTACCCAAAGTAGAGGTGGACAGCTTTTTGTCAGACTTCCCTGGCAGTCTGTCTCTCTCATCTGGTGAGCCTCAGTCCTCTTCGCCTCAGCCACCCCCTCTGGATGAGGCTCTGCTTTCCAAGAGCCCTGCTAACCTTTCAGAGGCTCTCTGTGCTGCTAACATGGACTTTTCTCATCTTCTTGGCTTCCTCCCCCTAAATCTTCCTCCTTGCAATCCACCTGTATCTTCAGGGGGATTGGTCATGGGCTACTCACAGGGGGAGACCCAGCCACTGCTTACCACTTTGCAACATCAACCTCAAGAATCTCCTGGAACTGGGGCCTCACTGAACTTTGGTCCCCTTCATTCATTGCCCCCTGTTTTCACCTCCAGCTTGAGCACAACCACGCTGCCGCGTTTCCACCAGGCATTCCAATAAGCTGAAAATAGCGCCGGAGAACAGATCTTTCAGTCACCCTTTTGTGGAGAGCCTTAAAAACGCACAACTCTTAACTTCCCTTTGGGGTGTGAAAGCTTCTCAAAGCTGTTTCAGACAGGAGGTTTCTGATCTCTGGAGGGAGCACTTGTAGACTGGAACAGCAGGTATCCCCATGCAAGTCCCAGTCCTGTACAGTGAAAAGATTTCAGCTAATAGACTGGATATATTTTATCTAATTTTTAATCTGTGAATCAGGAGCCACACTTAGCACTGACCTTCCCCGAGATCCTGGAGCTGTGTTCCTCTTTGGGAAGGGACTGACCCTGAGAAGGAGTTGAGACTCTTCCATTTTGCGCTAAACTTTTGAAGAGTCCAGCTTCCGTTTCATATTTTCACACTGCAGTTCTAGCAAAATGGTCAATACCTCCACATGGAGGAGGAGAAGGAGAAGTCAGGATACCTGCTCTATATGAAGCCAATGGGGAAGAGGCTTGCCCTTCCCCACTACCTCTCATCCTATCACCTAATACAGCTTACTCCACTTAGTACAGCTTACTCCACATCAGTGTTAAGCAGCAAGACAGTTTACACGGTGAATTCAGACACATCACCTCATTTTTCTTTACAGAGCCATTAGGTTAAACTCATTACAGTGAACATTGTTTACACAACATAAATCTGTTTCCACCATTACAAAAATAGGAGGCACCATAACACA